CCCTTTTCTTTGTGCATGTGTGTGTGGGTTAGAGAGAGAGAGAGAGAGAGAGAGAGAGGGGGGGGGAGGAACGGGGAAGGGGCGAGTGTATGGAGAGCTTATTGGGGGAGGAGGTGGTAACGATTCGGTACATTGGTTGATCTGTGTGAGAGAGAGAGGGGGGAGTGGGAGGAACGGGGAAGGGGCGAGGGTATGGAGAGCTTATTGGGGGAGCGGGTGGTAAAGATTTGGTACATTGGTTGATCTGTGTTTTCCCCCTTTTTTTTTCCTGTTTGCTGATTGCGTTTGTGTGTGTGTGTGTGTGTGTGTGTGTGTGTGTGTGTGTGAGAGAGAGAGAGAGAGAGAGAGAGAGAGTGCATCGATCAGTTGCCTTCACCATGAATGAATCTGCTGTCATATTTGTTTTTGTGAGCGAAGCCGCAACAGGTCATCTAGTAGGTATATAGTAGGCAAAGGAGATCGAGACTTGGCTGAGATGCCTGCACGTTCAGATTCAGTAGGAAGAGGTGCGAGTGTGAGTATGCCCTTTCCTCCCTCCCTGAGGAACTTGGCGGAGATCCACAGTGCCTTCCTGGTCGGGTATCAAATTAGGGACAATAGTAAGAGGTGGGGGAACACCTTGAGAGGCGACCTTTCTTGCTCTTTTTTATGTTGTTCCTGCGCCTGCAAAGGAAGTAATAAGTGTGAGTGCATGTGTGAGTACATGGGTCTTTTTTACCCTCATGTACAGCGTGTGGTTCCCAGGGGTTGAAAGTACCTAGTATGAGTGAGTGTACGTGCCCTTTCGACAGACTTTTGTAATAAGTTTCGGGAAAGTACAAGTTTGAGTGTGCCCTGAGTCTTTGTCATTAATGTTGCCAAGATGAGGTGTTGTACCCTCAACCCAGCAGTGCAGCCCACGTGTTCATGTGTGTGATTGCAAACTGGGTTTTGCTAGGCATTGGGTGCTTTGGTGCGGCATTGTGCCGGCACTCTAGTTGAGCTGCGAGATCTGTCATTGCTGTTGCGAATTGATGAATGACCTTTGTGATTCGCTCTTGTTTGTTTGCTGGTTCAGACGGTTTGTGGTTCTCTTGAAAGCCATCCACCACTGAAGGAACTACACTCTGCATGTGGATCTTCTCCGGTCGTTCTTGGGGAGTACAGCATTGTGGGGGCAACCTCCCATGGGTTGGAGTATGATGTGGGAAATGGAGCTCAGCATGGAAGAGAAAGGGGATGGAAATGTGAGAATGTCCAAAATGAGGTTGTGCAGGTCTCAAAATACACGAAGGTGAACAATGTCCATGTAGGGGTGGGTTGTCTTACCAAGCACAGCAGGGATGGATACTCCCACGTGACCTCAAGTGGTCTTGTTCGGTCTACAGCGGAATTAAAGTCAAGGTGGGATGGTGATACCTCTGTGACTGCCGTGTCTTGTTCTACTATTGGGCATGGCTGTCCAAATCACCGTTGTAAGAATGGCTTCCGACTGATCACTGAACACTTGAAGAGTGATGGATATCCACTCGGAGATCTGGGTGCCATGGAGCTGGGGAAGCCAAACGGGACCCAAGGAGGCTACAGATGCGCTAATCAGTGGAACACTCAAACATGGAGGCACCAGAAGGATGGGAATTGGAATAATTTGGAAAAGAAGCAAAGAGTGGAAGGAGGTGGTGAAACTGATTGGAGGGAGGAGCTCAGGGGGAAGTCAGATTTGTGGCTAGTAATGGAAGCCCGCTCGATGAGAGAGGTCGGAACTGGGAAACCAGCCAAAGGGTTCCCTTGGCTTATTGCAGCGCTGGCTTCAGGCAAGCATCTCTCTGTGATTAGCCAAGTAAGGTTGCCATGAGATGGGCGACTGTTTACATGCGTGCATGTATGTCATTGTGCGTGCTTTTGCTCTCTCAAGAAAGCGGTTTGCAGCTTGTTTCGTAACTATGGGAGGGCATTGGTCTGGTCGGGGGTAGAAGAGGGGGAAGGGGGGAAGGGGGAGGGGGGCAGGGGGGGGTTGGACGGAGAAGAGCGGAAAGGTCAGTGGATGGTGGGGAAGGGGTGGGTGGTTTCTCTGACAAGCTTGGTTGTCAGAATATTCTGTCTAGACTCTTCAGATGTATGGGAAGATGTATAAGGCTCTTTTTTTTTCTTTCGTTTTGTTTGTTGAATTTAAAGATTTGCAAGTGGAAAGGTATTAACAGGAAGAGAAATATTTGCAAACAGGAAAGTAGGCATGCCCATATTCAAGGAGAAAGAGAAACGAGCACCCACAAATCTAAGCTAATATTTGAGAGGCACCTTTCTGTCTTGGTCATGGGGTCTGTTTTGCCTCTTGTGTGAGTGGACATATTTCTCTTTTAGACACAGGATAGGAGTTTGGAGGGCTTTAAATTGCATGCTGTGAGGAAGGGACTGTCCCTTCCAGACGTTTGCCACAGGGCTTCTGACATAGACGCTAGAATCCGTGGTCATTTTGCTTCCGTAGCACGAATACCATAGTTGCGGCGCACCAGTGCGCAGTGCAGGGTGGGGCGGTGTGCACTTCGCTGTGCTCTGTGCGCAGTGTGCAGTGCTGTCCGCTGTGCGCAGTGCACGCGCTGAGGGAGGTGCGCCCTGTGCACGATT